TTGTTATGTATAAGATATGAAATGTTCGATTTTGAATCAAAAGTGTAGTTTATTATATCTCAAACAAGAAACAGTACAATTAATCAAAATATGAGCCTAAACTATTGACACAGTTTTGTCATCTTAACGGTAGCTTGTTTATGCCAGCAGGAGGAAGCCTAGAGAGCAAGTGGTGATGAAATAAAGAGAGGTGTTTTTCACAGCTTGTTGAGAATTGGATATTTTTCCTTGCAACAAGTGGTCCAAAGTCTGGAAGAAGAGGTAAGTCAGTTGGTGCAAGGTCTGGTGAATATGGTGGATGACAGAGAGTTTCCAAGTCCAGCCTCTGTAGTTTGAGTAGCTTTGTTTGTGCCACATGTGGTCGTTTGATGTCTTGCAAGAGGATTGGCCTGTCTCTATTGACCAATCTCAGCTGCTTAATCACAAGTATCCTCATCATTTCATCTAATTGGTTGCAGTAGTCATCCCTTGTAATCAACTGATCAGGTTTCATGAAGCCGTTGTGGATAATACAAGCACTAGACCACTAAACAGACACCATTAGCATTTTTTGATGAATATTCTATTTTGGACTGTGCTTCAGCACTTCATCCTTATCCAACCATTGTGCCAAATGCTTGTGATTGTCAAAATAATCCATTTTTATCACACTTAACAATATGGTGTAGAAATGATTCACCTTTATGTAGTGACAGAAAGGCAAGCTTTGAGATGATTTTTCTTATGACACTTGTTTAATTCATGCGGAAGCCATCTATCCAGTTTCTTTACCTTGTCCATTTATTTCAAATGGTCCAACATTGTTGGAATAGTAACATCAAACCTTGCTGCTAATTCATGCCTAGGTTGAGGTGGATTCACTTCCACTACAGCTTTCAGCTCATCATTATCTACCTTGGTCTCAGGTCACCCACATGGCTTATTTTCAAGATTAAAATCACAAGAATGCAACTTCTCAAACCACCGAAGTACTGTGCATTCATTAGCCACATCTTTCCCAAACACTTCATTGATATTTTGAGCTGTCTGTGCTGCATTGGTTCCACAACGGAACTCATATTCAAAAATAACACAATTTTTTTACTTATCCACGGTTTCAAAACTGAAGCATTGGCACAGAGGGTAAGAAGTGTGGCAGGGGCACACCAACAATATTTGTACCCCCATAATATAATGAAATAAAAGGAGGAAAAAAATTGAAAGATAATCAAAAGCCAAAACATGCATTTGAAAGAATGAGGATGTACCTTCATGATAAAAATAAAACAAGGAGTGTCAAAGTAAAATGTCAGAGATATCAACTACCAAACTTAGTACTTAAGGAAATTGGACATTACATATTTAATAATGTAATAGTACATTCTCAATGATAAGCAATTAATATAATTTGTTGTGATAACAATCATCTTCATTTATTGAAGGAGTTTCTGAGAAGGCTAAATTTGCCTTAAATTCTCCAACTTTTTCAAGTGCCTATTATGTGACAGGTGCTTTCAATTATAGTGCCATATGTAATTTTCCAAGGATCCTATAAATCTCAGGCAGGAAGGGTTTGCCTTCTTCTTGAAATAGCACTTTTCGGCAGTACTCTTTGAAATATTGTCTATACTCTCAGGATTAGAATTTATCTTTCCCTCCAATGCATGTTAAATATCTTATGAGTCTCTGCAACTCTCCACATAGTTGAACATGCCTGAACACTAATACAGGTGTTCTTAGGCACATGGAAACTTAGGATTTTCCTGTGGGACAGGTACACGGACAAGAAACAGTAAAAGGATGACTGCTTTTTCATTTTTTAATTACAGTGAACATGTCAACCTGGAAATCATTTTTCACGTCCTAGAGGGCTCCAGAGATTTTAGAAATTCAGCCTCTCTAGGTGTTTCCTGCACAGTGATTCCCATGGTCTTCCTTTATCTACTATTAATATCTATGAGGGATGCTTTGGTTTTTGACCACCTAGGTAAGCTCATTCATCTGTGTATGTGTTCCTGAGTCAGTTTCAAATGAGACATCCTGTTACAATCTTACTGCAAATACAAGATGGTTTCAAAAACCCACCGTCTACCTTTAGGGTTATATCTGAAGAACTAGTAGATTATGGGTCGAATTAGTCTCTACTCACCAGCTCACTTGGAAAACAGTTTGTTGAAGATACCTGGAGGGATGACCAAATGTCTCAACATCACTGCCTAAAGTCAACTTTTATGGCAAAAGGTCTGTTGCTTTAAGAGTGATTTCCAGGGCTAAGACAGGACAGGACAGCCAGAGTACTTCTGCAGGGAGTAGGCATGCTCTATATTGTGGGGTGAGCAGTTGATTCTGGACTGTTTTGCTGGGAACAGGGCATAGCCCCCAGAGGATACAGCAGTGAAAAGCTTGGCAACAGATCAGGCTCCAGATTTGGACAGAAGAATACACTGGAGATAACCAAGGGAAGAGGGGGAAAAGTACTGGGACTAGATAAAAATGTCAACTCCTGGGTAGAGTCAGCTCTCAAGGAATCTTGGGACTTGAGACAGGAGGTTCCTACGTTAATTAAGTCTATAGGCAACCTCCAAAGGTGTTTGATTCTCATTGTCACCTTCTTTAGGCCTGTCTTTAGTACCTTGGCCTCAGGGGTCTTCTTTGTGTAATCTGAGAGCTGTGATGCAGTCCTGTGAAGAGAAATGGAGTGGAGCCAGGTCTGCCTCTGGCTGGGAAGAGTGGGAACAGTGTGAGCTCTGGAGGATTCAGGCCAGATGTCTAGTTCCAGCCCTATCACTTACTAGCCCTGTGATCCTGTGACATGACCAAGCCCTGTGAACATGGGGTTCTTCACCTGTGACACTGGTTTGATAAGCCCTGTCCACTAGGACTGTTGCAATGTGCACAATGTATGTAAAGTGACTGGCACAGTGTCTGGAATATCTGTAATGATTAGAAATAATTTCTAGTGTTTGTTGTTGTTATCCGGTACATCTCAGAATATGCAGTTCCAATGTTTTCCCCCCAAATCACCACAGTTTCCTGTTTTGACAGTGCCTGCATGGAACTTGGCACTGGTTCCCCAACCTGGCCAACCACTCAGAGCCAGCCTTCAGTCACATCCTTACTGTACCCTCTGATCACCCCAAGGCCCCAGGAAATGCTCCAGTGCCATGCAGCCGCTGCCACCTCTCCTTAGACACCGTCATGAGAACCGCCTACCCCTTCCAGGTGCATGGGAGCTACCACCAGGATTCAGAGGATACCATCAACTGCCACTCTATGTCTCCCGTGTCTACCTGCCCATGTCTTATTTCTTTGACTGTGACAATGTGGCTTTGAAGAATTGTGCCAAATACTTCCTTCACCAACCTCCTGAGGAGAGGGAACATGCTGGGAAACTGATGAAGCTGCAAAATCAATAGATGTGGCCAAATCTTCCTTCAGGATATCAGGAAACCACACTGTGACGACTGGGAGAGTGGGCTAGATGGATGAAGTGTGCACTACACTTGGGAAAAAGCAAGAATCAGTCGCTACTGGAACTGCACAAACTAACCACTGGCAAAAGTGATCCCCACTTGTGTGATTTCATTGAGATGCATTACCTGAATGAGCAGGTGAAACCCATCAAAGAATTGAGTGGCCACGTAGCCAACCTGCCCAAGATGGGAACCCCCAAATGTGGCAGAATATTTCTTTGACAAGCACACCATGGGAGACAGTGATAATAAGAGCTAAGGCATAGGCTATATTCCCCCTATAGCTATGGAGTAACTTCCCTGGTAACCAAGGCAGCGCATGCATGTTGAGGTTTCTTTTACCTTTTCTAAAAGTTGTACCAAAACATCCACTTAAGTTCTTTCATTTGTACCATTGCTTCAAATAAAGAAATTTGGTACCTCCTCCCCAAAAGAATATGCAGTTCAATGGGACATGGAATCCCAAATCAGTCAAAAATGTTGATTTGTAAATAAAATTCAGTAAATTTTCCCTCTTACAGGATATATCTTCAAATTTCAATGTGTAGGACTCTTTCCCAGCTGGATACAGCTCAAAAAGCCTGGAATTTGATTCAAGGACCAACTCCTTCCCTCCATTCAAGGCACTGTTTTCATTCATTTCACCCCCATTAAATATCTAGCTCTTGCTTAGAGTTGTACAAATTACACTAAAGGTAAACTAATTGAACTGTTTTTTTAATGGAGTCAACTGACTTCTGGACATCAATTCATAGGCTTATTTATCAGGAAATCCTTACACAGGATGGGTATCAATCACCTGGTTCTTGCACTGTGCTCAACTGCACTGGGACAAGAGCACGGGACACCTTCCACACCTGCCCCATGGGGAGATTCCTCTCTGCTTTACTCACTATCCAGAAGGAACTGCTCAGGGCAGTTTTCCATTCCAGGCTTTGTTCTTAGCCCTAAATCACAAGTCACATGGTCTGAGAGTCTGACCCTGCCACCACCCAGCTTCATTACAACCAACTCCCACAGAAAAGAACTGCTCCCTCCTGGAGCCCCATACCCTCACCCTCTTCCTTTTGCTCTAGGACTTAGAGGACATCTCACCACTTTTGTTACATGACTGCAGCTCCTAGACTCTACCATCCTATGGTAGATGGTAGATGGATGGAGGTGAGTCTAACTTACGCTAGTATCTCCACTATCAACACAGAGTCTTCCAAAGAGCAGATGCTCAGTGAATGTTTGGGGAAGGAATTCACCAGTGAGCAAAGGTTTCATTTATTACAATTTAATTTTGACTTGAATAAGCTAACAAGATCCAGGTATATTTTTAATGTTACAGAAAAAATGTACTAAAATGATAAGGAAATAAAAAACACTTTTATATTATATAATACCTTACAGTTAACTATAGTCACCCTACTGTGCAATAGAATACCTGAACTTAGTCTTCCTATCTCATTGTAACTTTTACCCATTGACTATCCTCTCCCCTCCCCAGTCTCTGGTAATGACTGTTCTCCTCTCTACTTCTATGATATTGGCTTTTTGTTGTTGTTAGGTTCTACATATGAGTGAGATCATGCAGAATTTGACTTCCTTCTTAAAACACAGTGAAGAATCTGCCTGACTTTAGTTGGGGTAGGAGAGGCTGCTGGTGGCACTAGAACTTGCACTGGCCATGGCAGTAGTATCACCTGTGGGGGCAATTCTGGCCCGGGCTCTCTCTTCCTCATCTCTCAAAGCCTCCTCATACCACAGTGGGAAGGATCTAGGATCACTTCCATTGATCTTGGCCAAAAACTTCAAGAGACTCATCTTGCTGGTTTCAGCATGGGCCCTTGGACCCCACAGGAACTCATAACATACAGGATCACTGTCAGCCACCCGGCGGTACTCCAGGTACCCTTCCTGGACCCAATCATGGGTGAGGAGCTTCTGGGGCTCCCCATAGATGAAGTGCTCCCTCCCAGCATGCAGCCCTAACACATTTAGTGTTTCCCAGATGACCGACTCCGGGGCACAGTTGCCCTCCATGAAGATTATGCTCAGGATAAGTATCAGCATACCAGTCTTGGGCATGCTCTCAGGATCATTGAGCATCCCATCATAGGTGAGGCCCAGGTTTGTGACAAGGATGAAGGACTGGCCAGTGGGGTCCACTTCCTTCACTTCAATGCCAAAGACCAGCTGCATGCACTCGGAGGCTTCACTAAAGATCACAGGGAAATTCTCCTTGTCGTTTTTTATGACAATGGTTAGCATTTCTGACTTTGTGATAAGTTCCTTCATTCCATACTTGAAGAGAAGGAACTGCACCAAATCAGCTACCTTTACATCTATCTCATTTCGGGACAAGGACTCAGGGTCTGGCACTACCTGCGAGGTGCTTGGACTCTCCTTTTGTTGGTTGCTGGAGCCCTCATCAGATTTGCTTAATGGGGTGGAGGTGATAGCAGTGGGGAAAGAGCAGGCTGCCTGAGGACTCTGGGAAGGACTTGGTGCCCCAGCAACATCAGAAACCTCCTCTGGGGTGCTCGAGATTAGAGGATAGCAGGAGGAAGAAGAGGAAGAGGAGGAGGGGAAAGAGGATGGAAAAGAGGAGGAGCAGGTAGAGGAGGATGAGGAAGTATCCTCCTCCACAGCTGAGGGATCCTGTGCACCCATGAGTCCCTGTGTCTTACTTTGGGACCAAAGACCTTCTTCAAGCATGTAGCGCCGACGCTTTGAAGGTGGAGCCATGATGGCTTTGATCAGAGCAGCAGGCAGGAGTGTAGGTAGGGGTTCACATGCCTGGGGAGAAAGCGAGTGTGTCAGTGGCCTCAGTGAGAACCACACCATGCGGCTCTAAGAAAGGCTTGTCCTACAGGCCTTCTCCTCCCAGGGCTCCTGTCCTCCTGGTCAGCCTGTCCTCTAAGCACCTGAACGAGGAAGTGAGGTGGGTCCTCAGGGGCAGCAGCCTACAGAGCATGAGGATCCAGGGCTGACAGTGGGCAGGTGAGGCCAGGTGCTGTGGGGTCCCCTCTGTCCTGCGGAGGGCAGGGCCCTTGGCACACATTCAAGGTATGCACCTCACCTTGACTTCTGGCACTGCGTGGGCCTCCTCTGCTCTGTGATCTGAGGACACTGCCTCAGACCAAGGTCTCACCGTGGGTTCCTGGAGCCCCTGTAAGAGGAAGTGAGGGGCCCTCAGGCTGCAGATACATGCATAGTCCTGGTTCCCCCAGTGCTGTCAGGAGGGTGGGTCAGGCTCTGTGAGGTACCCACTCTTCAGGGGTGTGTGGTCCCCTCCATGCTCACTCAGGCCCCTTACCTTTTGCCTGGAGGGCCCTAGGCCACACCCCTCTGCTGGCCTGAGAAACTCTCAGAACAGGAGCTCACATCCCTGATACGGAGCATAAGACAGTGAGTGGGCCCCACAGCTGGACACAACTACCCAGGGCCTTGGAGAGAGGACAGGAAGAAGCAGCTAGATTTAGTGGGGTCCATGTGTCCTGTGGGAGGAGTCTGCTCAGTCCTCAGCTTGATGTCTGGAAGAGCCTGGGACCCTCCCTCTGTTGACCTGAAACCACCTCCCTAAACCAACGCCCTGTCTCCATGATACACCAGAAGAGGAAGTGAAAGGAGGCCACCCAAGCACTGTTCCCTGTATCTTTGCCAGGCTGACAGGAGGGGCAGGGCAGAGCAGGGCTGGGTCTTGTGTGTTGGGTGAGTAGGGTCTCCTCAGTCCTGACCTTAACTCCTAGCAGGGATAGGGATTCTCCCTCTGTTGACCTGAGTGCAGCTCCCTCAGACGAAGGCCTTCACCTCCCTGAGACCAGTGTCCAGATGTGAGATCCTCTGTGTTCTGGCCTGGGGGTGCCTTCAATCCTCTCTCAGGGTCCTCACTTTGACTCTTGGCAGATTCTGGGACCACTGTATAAGTCAACCAGCTGGGGTTCCCTGTGTTGACCTGATATCACCGTCTCAGAACAATTTTCTCACCTCCCTGGGAGCCCCCAAACAAAAGTGAGGAGGTGCCATATCCCATCACCTCTGCATGGGGTCTCCAGGGCTGACAACAGGGGTTTGGCCCATCTGTTCTGGGGTGGGGGCTCTCACAGTCCTCCTCTAGGGGCCTGCCCTCCTTACCCCATCCCGCCTGACATGGGCAGACATCCCCCCTTTAACCAAGGCCTCATCTTCCTGAGGATTCCCCAACTTCCTGCCCTGGTAGAAATGAGATGGCCCCTTAGGGCCACCCCAATCAGGTCAGGGACAGCTGGAGTCTGTGGAGTGCCATCTTTATGGGCTGGGAGTACCCTCAATCCTCACCAGGGTGCACACCTTGGGCTTCACAGATCCTGGCACTCCTCCCTCTGCTGGCTGGCCTCACCCCTCGGACCAAAGTGCTTACCTCCCTGAGACCCCTGACCTGCAACCACGTGGCAGATAAGAGCAATGCCACATGTCATCCCTGCCCGGTGCCTCCTAGAGTAGAAAACAGGGAAGCCAGGGTCTTTGTCGGCCTTCTTCTTGGAGCTGTGGTGGTACCTCATGACTTCAGTCCTCACCAACGTTCTTCCCCTGATCCATGCCGGACCCTGGACTCCTCCCTCTGCTGACGTCACAACTCCCCTTGGACCAAGGCCTTCCCTTCCCTGAGACCCAGGAGACAGAGGTGAGGGTGCAGCACACCCACAAACCCTGCATTGGGCTTCCCAAGGATCACAGAAGGAGCAGGTTTCAGGGGATCCTCCTCCTTCTAGGATGTCCTCAAGGTAATCATATTTACTCCGTACAGGGCTTGGGACTTTTCCCTTCTACGGAACTGTAGATGCGTCTTGCAGACCAAGGTCACCATCTCCCTGAGACCCCAAGGAGGAAATGTGGGGCCATGTCTCTTCCCCACAGACCTGCTTGGGGCCTCTGAGGGCAGAGAGCAGGGCAGGTTTACCATGTCTGGAATGGGGAACTGCCAAGTCCTCGCTCAGGACCCTGGGACTCCTCCCTCTGTTGAACTCAGGCCCCACTCCTCAGACTAAGGCCATCCCCTCCTTGTCACCCCCAAGGCAGAAGCAAGGACGCACCACATCGGGCCACCCTGCCCAGGGCCTTGCAATGCCAAGGTCCCCTTCTGTTCTGGATTATGAGGTCTGCATGATACTCCCTCTGTGTCCTCCCCTTGAGCCCTGGCAGGGCCTGGGCCCCCACACCCTGCTAATGTGAGTCCACACCCTTCAGATTTCTCAAGCTGAATTCTGGAGATGCCTCAGTCTCACAGTGAAGGCGGGGCTGGGCCTCCTCTGTCCTGGGGTTCTGGGTCACTTTAGTCCTCCCTCAGTCCTTTCCTTGTCTCCTAGGAGAGCCTGGGCATCTTCCTCTGCTCACCGGAGGCTCTGCTCATTATACAAAGCCCCTCCGTTCTCTAAGACTCAGATGTAGCTGTCAGGACCCCCGTGCCTGCTCACCCTGCACGGGGCCTCCCATGCCTGATGACAGAGGCAGGCATCTGTGGGGCCCTCCTTGTCCTGGAGTCTAAGACCCCCTCCCTCTTCTCTCAGCGTCCTCATCTTAGTGATTGGCAAGCCCTAGGATCCTCCCTCTGTTGACCTGAGTCTCGCCCCCTCAGACCAAGGTCCTCAGTGCCCTAAGAACGCCTGGGAAGTCAGTGGACATCACGTCTGGACATCATGCTCCTGGGATTCCCAGGGTCACAGCAGGGGCAGGGGCGAATCTATGGGTCCCTCCCTCGTCCCTCAGCGTCTCACCTCACTCCTAACAGAGCCTGGGCCCTCTCCCCTCCGCCGACGTGAAGTCCGCCCCTCAGACCAATGGCCTCGCCTCTATCAGCCCTCCAGGCGGACGTCGGTGGACATCACATCCAGCCCCGCCACACAGGGGCTTCCGGGGCTGACAGCAGACGTGGAGCTGGATTATTTGGGGACCTTCTACCTGGAGTGGGGACCTCCTCTGTCCACCCTCGTCATTTCACCTCACTCCTAACAAAGCCTGGGCCTTTTCCTCTCCGCCGATCTGAAGTCTGCCCCTCAGAACAAGGCCCTAGCCTCTATCAGCCCCCCAGGTGGACGTCGGTGGACGTCACATCCAGTTCCTTGGGGTCACAGCAGAGGTAGAGCTGGATTATCTGGGGACCCTTTACCTGGGGTGGTGGCCCCCTCAGTCGACCCTCATCATCTCACTTGACTCCTCACAGAAGCTGGGCCATCTCCCCTCCGCCGACGTGAAGTCCATCCCTCAGACCAACTGTCTCGCCTCTGTCAGCCCCTCAGACACAAGTCGGTTGACGTCACATCTGCCCCCCCTCATCACCCGGGGCTTCCCAGGGCTGACAGCAGGGACAAGGATGGACTGTGGGGCCCCCTATCGGGATGTAGTGGGAACTCTGAGTCCTCCCTTAGAGCCCTGCCCTGTAGGGCGCTGGAGTCAGCTCTAGCTCACACCAGGCTCGGACTCCCAGAGTCCCCTAAATTCTAAGGGGGAGGGACTCAATTGACACGTCTGTCCCTGGGTGGTCCACGACTGACAGCAGGGGCAGAGCTGGAGTATTTGGGGACCCTCTTCCTGAGGTAGGGCCCCCTCAGTCCAACTTCGTCATGTCACCTCACTCCTAACAGAACCTGGACCCTCTCCCCTCTGCCAACCTGAAGTCCCAATCTCAGACCAAAGGCCTCGCCTCTGTCAGACCTCAGGCGCAAGTCAGTGGACATCACATCCGGCCCCGATATAATGGGTTTCCCAGGGCTGACAGCAGGGGTGGAACGGGATTGGTGGTGGGAGGCCTCAGTCTCCCTCAGGGTCCCGCCCCTGATGCCTGGCAGGGCCGGGGCCCCGCCCTCTCTGGACCTGACAGGGCCTCGGGTCTCACGAGGCTCTGACTCCCTGAGTCACCTGAGGTGGCCGTTGGGGGCAGTGGTCAGGCGGGGGACATGCCGGGTGTCCCAGGGCTGCCAGCAGGAGCCGAGCAGGACCCTGTGGGCCCTCTCTGTGGGGCGTGTGGACCCTCTGTCCTCACTCCTGAGGGTCCTCATCGTGGTTTCCTGCTCTTTGATTAAGTGCCCGGTGAGCGGTCCCTGTCCCCGCCACCCCTGAGCATGGGCTCAGCTGCAGCCCTTGCCGAGAATGTCTGCGGGTCCCAGGCCGGATGTCCGGTGGGGGCTGCAGCGCCAGGGATTGCAGTGGCCTGTGAGACAAGACAGGCACCGTCCCGCCAGGCTCTTTCTTCTCCTGCCGCATGTAAACTTTGAAACCTTTTGTCCTAAAATATTTGCTTTTTATACTGAAGAGGCTGAGCATTGGGATTTGGGGAGGTCCCTCAGTTTTGAAGTTATCTAACAATGCGTTGTCTAATGCAGTGATTTTCTTTATTTAATTAAAACCACTTCGGTAAGGCTCTCATCGGTAGTGAAACCTTGCCCACAGCCGGCACTCATAGTCCACCCGATAGTTTGTGGTGTGCATTGAGGACGAATCTGTTCAGCTATTGTGTGACGAGGAAAGCTTTAAAGCACTGAAAGCTTGTATTACTTTACAGGCAGCTTTACTTGTAATGTAACTCAGAATAGGTAACATGTACATATATATTTTCATTACATTATCTTTAAATATTCACAATTTTATTTTGATAAATGAAAAATTAGAAAAGTCATATCACGGCTGTCAGCTAACGTCGCTGTGCACGTTCATCTGTGACTATCGACTATAGTCGAGGCTCCTACCGAAGTGGTTATTAATCCTCATTCCTAGTTAAAAAAATTTATATGCCTACCAAGCATGTGTTTAAAATATATAATTTAATGAGAGTATACATCCCCTTACTATGGGTGGTTCACTCAATATTCTAAATATTATGTATTCTTTTTATTTCAGCATATTATGGGGGTACAAATATTATGGTTACATATATTACCCTTGCCCTCCCTTCCCCCTAGAGTCAGAGCTTCAAGCATGACCATTCTGTAGGTTGTCTGTTTGCTTTTGTGACAGGTTCTTTGGCTGTGCAGAAGCTTTTTAGTTAGATCAGGTCCCATTTATATATTTTTGTTGTTGCTGTGAATGCTTTTTGAGGTCTTCTTCATAAATTCTTTGCCTAGGCCAATGTCTAGAAGAGTATTTCCAACCTTTTCTTCTAGAATTCTAATAATTTCATACATTAGGTTTAATTCTGTTACCCAGCATAAGTTGATTTTTGTGAGAGGTGAAAGGTGTGGATCCTGCTTCAGTCTTCTACATGTGGCTATCCAGTTTTCCCAGCACCATTTATTGAATAAGGATTCTTTTCCCCAGTGTGTGTTTTTGTCTGCTTTGTCAAAGATTAGATGGCGTTTTATATCTGGGTTCTCTGTTCTGTTCTACCGGTCAATGTTCCTATTCATGTGCAAGAAACAAACTGATTTAATTACTATAGCCTTTTAGTATAGTTAGAAATCTGGCAAATTGATACCTCCCATTTTGATTTTATTGCCTAGAATTGCTTTTGCTATTTGGGGTCTTCTCTGGTTCTATACGAAGCGTAAAATTATTTTTTCTATATCTGTGAAAAATGATGTTGGTATTTTAATAGGAATTGCATTGACTCTGTAGATCACTTTGGGTAGTATAGACATTTTAACAATGTTGATTCTGCCGACCCAGGAGCATGGTATGGTTTTCCACCTGTTTATATCATCTGCTATTTCCTTCCTCAGTGTTTCGTATTTCTCCCTGTGGAGGTCTTTTACCTCCTTAGTTAAATATATTTTAGTTAAATATATATTTGTTGATGATATAATATCATATCATTTGATTCTTTTTTAAAAAATAAGTTATATCTATTTGTTTATATTCTCTGTTTGATGAGACATTGTATTTATATTTTCATTTACTTCTTTAAGCATGGTTTCCTTTAGTTCTGTGAACATATTTATAGTGACTACTTGAAGTCTTGTCTTTGTCTTTACATATCTTGTAATTTTTGTGGGAAGCTGGTGTTTTAGATAATATATATCCACAATTATTGGTACTGCCTCTCATTCCAAAGCTTCTTATTTTTATTTGCTTGTTACTTGTTTAGTGTCTGGCTAGATTATTTTAGTGATGTCTATTACTTCCACATTGTGAAAGGTCTGATGTTGCTCTTCAGAGGGCACAATCTTTAACAGTGTCAGCAGTCACCCTGTGGTGACAGTGGTTTTAGCATGGGATTCTTTGCCTCTTTCCCTGACCATACCCAGCTTTTAAGCTCTAGTGATTTCTGACCAATTGCTCAATTGTTTTCAACAATACCCTGGGACAAAAATTGCTCTGTAGATTGTTCTAATTAAATTTGGGCTCTTTGGCAGGGTTCGTTTTTGAGTTTGATGTTTTAGGTTTGTTCTGACTCAGAAGGGCTCTTACATATCTCTGTCTCTGGTTATTTCTGACAAACTACCTGGCTGGTGGTCTAGTTTATACCTCTAATGAATGTACCAGTATTATCTTTTAAATAAAATATCCATTGTTTTTGAGAATGCTTTTAGGCTTGAAAATTCACATCCTCTATTCAGTGAAGTTAGTTCCTTTAGGAAGAGCTTCAGAGATCTCTGTTCTTGCATGTTGCCTCTCCACCTGGTTAAAATCCCAACCCTGGTTCTGAAGCTAGAGGCAGAGCCAGTGGAATACTTCTTTTTAAATAACATCCCAGCTTTAGGAGCTGTGTGATTGGGGTGTGTGTATGGGAGGTTGTCAGTAGCCTCTCTTGGCTGGGGAACTTATGAGCCAGTGTGAGGCAAATCAAGCTGCAGTACTGTCAGAGCACTGTACCCAAGACAGAGTTTCTGGCCCACAAGGGAAATCTAACTTCTCAATTGCACTCACCTGGAACTTCAAGAGTTAGGCTACCAGGCTGAAGAATCCCTCAGCAGAGAAAAGCAGTTAGGTCTCAGAAGTGACTTAAGCTTTGCCTGATTTGCAAACATAAGCAAAACTTAACTTGAGCTATTTCTTGTAAATATCTTAAGGAAAAACAAAACTTAACCCAACGAATCAGAAGTACCCAAAAAACTTATAATTATATAACTAGCAACTTTCCAATGGGAGAAACCAAATAAGGTAATTGTATAATGGTAACTAATCAAATATTTTCTTAGCTTTACTTTTTTTTTTTTTTTTTTTTGAGACAGAGTCTCACTTTGTTGCCCAGGCTAGAGTGAGTGCCCTGGCGTCAGCCTAGCTCACAGCAACCTCAAACTCCTGGGCTCGAGTGATCCTTCTGCCTCAGCCTCCCGGGTAGCTGGGACTACAGGCATGCGCCACCATGCCCGGCTAATTTTTTATATATATATCAGTTGGCCAAATAATTTCTTTCTATTTATAGTAGAGACGGGGTCTCGCTCTTGCTCAGGCTGGTTTTGAACTCCTGACCTTGAGCAATCCGCCCGCCTCGGCCTCCCAAGAGCTAGGATTACAGGCGTGAGCCACAGCGCCCGGCCTTTAGCTTTACTTCTGTGTCCATCCTATAAAAGCCTCCCCATCACATTCCCTCAGTGGAGCTCCTAAACTGTGACTGTTGTTGTTTGCTCAAATAAACTCTTTAAAAATTTATCATGCTTCAGTTTACCTGTTTAACAATGTACAGCCCTTCCTAGGAAGATGCCATGGTCTTCAGCTGGGACCTAGGAGACAGGGAACCCTATGTTCTTGTCTAAATCCATCTTGAATGGAGCTCCCTTCACATTGTGATGGAGGGGCTGGCATCATGATTGAAATGCTGCAGACTCTCAATGTTGTTATCAAATGTCAGGATGTTTTCCCGAATACATTTTTCTTCATTTTCTGTATTCCCTTAGGATGATTTCCAGAGATTTTAAATATTAATAGTTGTTTAAAAAATAATTGTTATCAGTTTCATTGGAGCATATATCCATACAGCTCTTCGTGTTGCCAATGCAAGGAGTAGAGCCCCCTTGGTATAATTTTTGTTACTTGGTTTTAATTTTTATATTTATCTTAGTTTCCATGTAATTTTCTTTCTCCATTTTTGCTATGGTCTAAATGT